GTGCAATGTGCTGCTAGAGCTGTCTTTTGTTCTAAAGGTTTGTCTGATTTTTGATCCGATTTATGTCCGGAAAGTCTAGTTTTTAATTTTGTTTTTGTCGTGCCAATATATACTTTTTGGCATATATTGGTTTCGTCGCCGTTGCATGCTATCTTATAAACGACATTGCTCTTGTCCTCCTTTTTTGTCTTCGTTTTAGTTCTACTGAACATATTGTTGACACTGTAATTGGTTTTTAAAGCTAATTGGTATTTGTCCTTATTATACGCGTTCGATCTGCAAAATCTCTCCGAAAATCCAGGTATATACGTCAAAGATTTGTATGATATTTCCTTTCCTTCTGTAATTTTAACATTTGTATTCTCCTTTACACGTTTTATTAAACCGTCGATTGTTTTTTGTGGGAAATCATTCTTTGTTAATATATTTCTTATTTTTAATTCATTATTTTGGTGGAATTGCTGGTCACTTATATTGAAAATTCTATGTATAAAGTTTGTCGCTGTATTTATCTTCACTCGTCGGGGATGTTTTGAAAAAAAGTTTATCAATCGTCCAGATGCTGTTGGTTTTTGGTACCAATCTAACTTGAGGTTGTTGTCGTGTCTTATGATTATTGAGTCTAGATATGGTAGCTTACCATCTTCCTCTACTTCATGAGTAAACTGAATGTTTTTGTCGAATGTATTTAGTATCTTTAGTGTGTTTTCGATTTCCGTTTTCTTTATTATGCAAAATATATCATCTACGTACTTCGATAATAATCTCGGCTTCGTCGTCATATTTTCTACGGAAACGTCCAATAATACCTCCATTACCACATCAGCTATTATCGGCGACGCTGGGGAACCCATTGGAAGTCCTTTTCTTTGTTCGTACACCTTGTCTTGATATACGAAGTATCTGGAGTCTTTTATACAAAGGGTCAATATTTCTATAAATAACTCTTTTGGAATTTTTGTATAGTCCTTGATTATATTCCATTTCTCAGCGATTGTCTTTAGTGCTAAGTTTATTGGGATGCTGGGGAACAATGACACTACGTCAAATGATATTAAGGTTTCGTCTTTTTCTATTTTGACATTGTTAATTTTAGATTTAAAATCCACTGCGTCCTTAATGTTGTATTTCGAGTCCTTCGTCAAATGTTTTAAAATATCTACTATGTATTTGGACAGTCCGTAGGTAGGTGAATTTATGGATGAGCATATCGGTCGTAGAGGCACTCCTTCCTTGTGAATCTTTGGTAAGCCGTAAATTCGTGGTGCGATTGACGTATTTGTCAATAATTTGTTCTTTTCGTTAAAATCTACAATATTCATTTTATATAGCACATCCACAAATTTGTTGTTTTTATTTTGTAGTGCAGTCGTTGGATCTCTTTTTAGTCGTCGATATGTACACATATCCCGAATAATGTCATTCATTTTTATTTCGTAGTCCTTTTTATACATTGCAACTGTCTTACCCCCTTTATCTGCATTTAATATTAATACGTCCTTATTATTTTTCAAAAATGTTCTTGTTTGTCCCACTGTGTCAATTATAAGTTTATCTCTTATACTTAATTTTCTCCGTTTTAAGTGATCGTCAATGAGTGACACTAATTTTATTCTTGCATCTTCTTGATCTTCTTTGTTGTTTAGTGTCTGAATACACTCTTCGCTCTCAGCAATAATATTGAGTAGGGGGAATGATGTGTTTGTTGTTGGCAAAGCGAACTTTGGACCCAGTGACAACAATAAGTCTGCAATAATTTCAAAAACTTTAGTTGCCTTTTATTGTCGGTAAACAGACACTACGAGCGGCATATCGAATTTCTAGACATCCAATGTGTTAAGTTTGTTTTTATAATTCTATACTAATTTCTGAGGGTTGCGTAAAAAAATAGCAAAAAATAGATAGACATAGGTATATTGAAAGCGCGGTATTCACTTTTGCTATTATCTACATAAATAAAAGAGTAAAATAATTGGCTGATTGACTTAATGATTCATTGACGGCCAGAGGAAACGACAAAAGCTAGCATCTTGAAATTTTGGTACAGTGTCACTCATGGTCCGAAGGTGTCAGATAAGGCTGGGGTTTCGGAAATTCGTATTAGAATGTTACGAAAAGTACTAAAAGGTGCAGAAAATGGTTACCATCCTTAACCAGTAGAGCTAAAACTCTTAAATATGGAACAAGGCTCACTGATGAAGTGCATGATGGATGTACCAAAGGGTTTTTGGAAATTCGCACTATAAGTGAACTAAAATGTACTATATTTGGAACTATTTCGTATAATGTGTACGGTTAGAACTAAAAACTTAAAATTCGAAATGGGAATCAAGGTTAAGGAGTAGGGTCGATATATGTAGGTAGTTTTCGAAATCTGTACATATGTGTACTAAATTTTAGTTCTAAATTTGGAACAACTTCGATTTGGATTTACCGATAGATGTGAAATACTGAAATTTGGAAATAAGATTACTACTGCATTCTAGGACTGAGGTATATACAGGGTGAGATGAAAAAACTGAAACCAACTTCAGACTGCTCTCATTTGTAAGCCAATCGTCCGACAACTGAAACCTGGAAAACCACAAGTAACTATCGTCAGAGCACTTCAACATTAAAATGTGAATAAATCTTTTGTGTCTCGTACCATCGCTCGTTACCGTGATACTGGTAGCATAGCCCGACGTCAAGGAAGTGGACGGAAAAAAACAGCAACATCAGCAGAAATGGTTCGAAAAGTAAAGAAGCTACATAATCGAAACCCCCTTTGCAGTGGTCGAAAAATGGCTCCAGAGTTGAACATATCGCAATATTCCATTCGGCAAATATTGAAAAATGAACTCAGGGTAAGGCCATTGAAATTCCAAAAAGTGCAAGAACTTACACCGCAACAGAAAGAAAATAGACTCAAAAGAGCTATAGAGTTGCTTCACTTGGCGGAAAGTGGTGAACTGCCGAATTTGGTTTTCTCCGATCGCACTAAACCGCAGGCCATTGCACGCAGCCGCAGACCTTGGACATTCCAACAGGCCATCGCACTAAACACGCGCCACCCAAGAATGGTTACAAAATAAGGTTGCTCGCTTCATTTCCAGCGCACAATGGCCACCAAAATCTCCGGTTACCAATTCGTTGGACTATTGTGTCTGGAGTATTTTGGAAAGCAAGGTTGGCACTAAAAAATACCAAAGAGTGGATCACGTCAAGCAAGCGCTTCGCCGGGAATGGGCCAAAATACCGCGGAGCAACATTCGGACAGCGTGTGACGGTTTCATTGGCCGTTTGAAGGCCATAATTCGCGCTAAAGGTGACCAATTCGAACAAATCTAAACTTATTCTAGAATTTGATGCTATATCCGACATTTTTTTGCTTTCATTCAATTAAATAAAAAAAAAACAAGTAAAAAACATTAAGTTCGGCCGGGCCAAACTTTTAATACCCTCCAACAACAAATACCAATTTCTAGTCAAATCCGGGAAGAAATGTGGCAAAAGCCATTAAAATGGCGAATATCGGGAAGTACGGGGCTATACCAAATCGAGGACCTATTCATGCAATGTTTCGCCAAAGCATCTAGAACATATTATGGCAAATATGACAAATACCAATTTTCAGCCAAATCTGTGGAAAAATGTGGCAAAAATCGTCAAAATACCGAATATCGGTAGGTACCGTTATATGGGGACTATACCAACACGTGGACCTATACCTATAAAGTTTCGCCACACGAACTAGAACCCATTATGACCTACAAATACCATTTTTTAGACAAATCAGTGAAAAAATGTGCCAAAAATAATCAAATACCGAATATCGGGAGGTACCTTTATATATATGCAATATCTCGCCACACGAACTGGGACACGTCATGACCTACAAATACCAATTTTCAGACAAATCCGTGAAAAAAGTGGCATAAATCATCAAAATACCGAATATACTTTATGGGGTCTACGACGAATATTTAAGGATGTTACAAACGGAATGACAAAGTTGATATACCCTCCTTTCCAAGGTGGAGGGTATAAAAAAGTAAAAATTATGGCGCTTGACTTTGTTGCAGTTTTTTTTATCCCACCCTGTAGACACCAACAGTGATGCAAAATTAGTAACGTAAGTACTTTTCGTATAATTCGAACAGATCTCAACACCAAATACCAACAGTGAGAGAGAGCTTTATAGATTCACTCTGTACTACATTTAGTAACATATAATGCTTTTCGTACAATTTTAGTACTCATTTGTAAAACCGTTCCATATCCCAATCCCAAACTCCAACAGTTGTCGCAATATAAAATTTCACAATTTTAGTTCTATCTCTTTTCCCAATACCAAATTTGATTTAATAAAATACTTTCCGAACAATTACAGCACACAATTAAAAAACTTCTCTCCATGCTAGGCCCCAACAGTGACCCAATATTCTTGCCAAAACCTCACAGACACCAACAGTAACGTCTTTATCAATCAAATCTCAGGATATCAGCTCTAATCTTTCAGCAAATACCAAATGTAGTACTATTTAGTACTTTTCGTAAAGTTGCAGTTACAGCACACATTTACGAAAACCCCTTCATATTTCAATATAATATCCTATCTTAAGATATAGAGATTGTTTAGTAAATGTGTGCTACAATTGTTCAAAAGTTACTAAGTGATATTGTGGTCTTTCTTGGTATTTGGTATTGGGATATGGATGTGGTTTTGTAAATGTGTACTGTAACTGTACGAGAAGATATGGAAAAATACCAAAAGTGGCATTTACATAAAATTTTAGGATTTCAGCTCCATTCTTCCTCCCAATACCAATATTCGTATTTTTTGTACTTTCCTTACAATTATAGCACCAAATATAGTACTATTTAGAACTGTTCATGCACCTATGCACAAATTTCATCTTTATCATAAACCTACAACCAACAGGGACCCCAATACAAAATTTCAAATTGAAATCAAGTAAAATTGTCACCAGCATAAAGGAGTTGCTTTGCCTGTCATGGTGTCTGAAAATAAAATAAAAACTCTAAAATTTTTGGAAAAATTATTTGATTTGTTTTTTGTCAAGAAAAGTTTGAATATCTTCAAATATTAAATAACCAATGTCTGTGGAGGATTGGACTTTATGTAAAAATATACCCCTTGAAAATCTTAGAGAATTAGCTGAAAATCACGCGTTCTTGTCAAGAAGGATCAATGGATATTTTCGAAATCTAAATCTAAACTAGTTGTTTAACAACGATTCAAGAATAAAGCCTCCGATGAAAGAAGACTTCGTAAAGAGGTTTGTCAAAATGAATTTTCTTCACCACGTCTAATTGAAAAGGTAAGTAATACATGTTATTTTTGCCCAATCTCAAACGAAACGAAGATTAGTGTTTCCTTCTCCATTAAATGTGAATAGGATCAAATCTGGGTTCTTAACCCGTTTTGCTCTGCGTGGAGATATTGGTATCCTCTTTAAAACATGAATGGCAAACATCTCAACTCTGTCTGGAAATCGGTTCCGGTTACGAATAATCTGCAGAATAACGAAAGTGTAAGTTAAAAAGTATTGATCGGTTTTGCCAACAAATGTATACTCTCATCTTATGGCAGTTTATTGAAACATATTTTGACTTGCGTTGACCTTTTATGGAGGAGGTACCAAAGGAGTGGACCAATAATATCCATGTCTAATCTGAAATAACCCAGATATAATCATTACATCGTATCCTCGGCCATCAGACTATACCGACTACTTCCATCGATTTAGATCAGATATGTAATATTTTTTGTTAAATTTGTGCGTGAAGAAAAGGTTCTAGTGGACCAAAGTGTTTCAGGTCATCAAATACTGATAAAAATATTTCGATATATCGTTTTTGGCCGACAGATGTATGCCTTAAGACATCCTCCTTTTTTTGAAATATATTGTGACTTGCATTATGATTATTCAAACCCCCTTTGGGAATGACTTTTAATCAAAAGGATAAATTTTATGGGATGGTACGAGAAGGGGCTGATAAATTCCATATTCATTTAGATTTACCAATTTTGAAAAGAATCGTTTTTTTTTGTTGGAGGGTACCGATGCAATACAAATATTAGGGTGTGTGAAATTTGAAAAGAATCGCATTTTTGTTTCGAATAGGGAGATGTACCAGAATTAGTGATCCGATATATCCCATCTCAAAACAACATATCGTGTGGATAGAAAACCTTCGATGTGCCGATTTTGAAACGAATCGGATGATTATTTCGTGAAACTCATCATGGTTATTCAAAATTTAGCCTATTGTGGGGAAGTCGGTATATCCCATTTTCCACCAGATCTTCTGTTAATAAATATATTGGAGTGCGAAATTTGAATCGGTTGCTTATTTCGCATTCTATGAGAGGTAATATTATTCCAAATTTTGACCCTTTGTAGAGAGGTACCAAAATTAGTGGTCCGATATATCTTATCTCCACACCAGACCTGATATATATAGAAATATTGCTATGAACCGAGTTTAAAAGGAATGTGTGTTGACGATTTAAAGCAGCCTTTAAAAGCTTCTTTAACACCAAAATAGACTTTGTGGAATAAATTAAAATTGGTATATTCAAAAAACGCCCTCCCGAAAATGATTTGAGAAGCTGTTAGGAGGCTTAGAAGCACCTCTCCAATAGATAAATAGATTATAATAGATTTTTTAATAATTGTTAAATATTTATTTTTATGCCCTACACAAAGACATAATACCCTTATGTCTTTGTGCAATATGCAGAAGGAAGCGAGATAGACCCACAGTTACTTTTAAGGATCTTCATAGAATCACTTTCTGAATCGATTTATGCATGTCTATCCGTCCGTCAGTCCATGTGTTCTTGTGAACACCATGCAGGTCACATTTATTACCAGATTGAGATGAAATTTTCCAAACAATGTTTGTTTGGCCCAAGGGCGAGCCCTATTGAAATTTGTGATTATCGGATCAGATTTAGATATAGATCCCATATATCTTCAACAGATTTTGGGTTGTTTGTCAACCAAATGGCCACTATATCTGTCCAAAAGTCCTAAATGTTGGTACATCCGACCGAATTCAGTGTAGAAGTGAGTATATCAAAATTTGTGAAAATCGGTTCATATATAGCTATAGCTCACATATATATGTTTCATCCGATTTGGTGTTTAAGTCCCTCTCATTCGTAATATGCATTCGACAACAATGATATTTGGTACCAGATATCAGATACCGCCCCAAAAATACCTCTGTCAAATTTTATCGAGATCTAATCAGATTTTGATATAGCTCCCATATATATCTTCAACCGATTTCAGATTAATTGCGCACCAAGTGGCCAATATCTGTCCAAAAGTCCTAAATTTTAGCACATCCGAGGGCATTCAGTCCTAGAAGAAAGAACATCAGAATTAGTGAAAACCGGTTCAGATATAGCTATAGCTCCCATATATATGTTTCATTCGACTTGGTGTTTAAGTGCCTCGCATTCGTAATATGCATTCGACAACAATAATATTTGGTAGCAGATATCAGATACAGCCCAAAAAAACCTCTGTCAAATGTTATCGACATCGGGTCAGATTTGGATATATCTCCCATATATATCTTCAACCGATTTCAGGTTAAATGCACCAAATGGCCAATATCAGTCCAAAAGTCCTGAATTTTAGCACATCCGACCGACACTCACGTAATAAGAATTAGTAAAGGAAAAACCTCAGATTTAGATTTAAACAAAGAAACTGAACATGTTTACATTTTTAACACCAAAATTTAGAAATGATTCAAAAGAGTATACGAAATGTTCACATAAGTTGAAAATAAAATTTCGTTCCTTTCTAAAACGCATACAACATGATATATAAATGGAAATTGCGAAAAAGTAAAACGGTCAGAGTTTGTTTAACCAAGTTAAAAGAGACAAGACACAAACAAACTGGAAACGCAAACATATCAAGAAAACAAAAATTCCAAAATTGCACATGACGCAAGGTTATCATGTGAATATCAAGATGTGTTGTTGTTGCTGCAATGATATCATAAACTACGAAAAGGCCAAACACAGTTGTTGCATCTTCAAAGGCTGGAATGAAGAAAAATACACATAAAACAAATACGACAACATGTCGGCTACCATCGCTATCATCGCACAATGGATTCCAACATGGAAACTATTCTCAAAATATGTTCCTTTATACCAACGTGTGTGACGGTCGAGAGAGATAACAAGTTAAAAAGCAGTATGTAGTAAATAATGTAGCTAAAATCATCAAAATATCGTATATAAGGAGGTGCCGTTAAATTGGAGCTCTGCGAAGACCTGGACCAGCATAGACAATTTTCTGTCACGGGCTGTAGCATCCATTACGAACTTCAAATACCAATTTTGAAACAATTCCGGTGAATAATGTCGCTAAAATCATCAAAATACCGAATATCGGGAGGTACCGTTATATGGGGGCTATCGGAAGACAAGGACTTGCACAGACAATTTTCTATCTTAGACTGTAGTATTCATTACGAACTTCAAATACCAATTTTGAAACAATTCCGGTGAATAATGTCGCTAAAATCATCAAAATACCGAATATAGGGAGGTACCGTTGTATGGGGGCTATACGAAGACGTGGACATATACAGATAATTTTCTGTCATAGGCTGTAGTATCCATTTCGAAGTTGAAACAATTTCAGTGAATAATGTTGCTAAAATCATCAAAATACCGAATATCGGGAGGTAATTATATGTGGGGGCTATATGAAAACGTAGACCCACATGGCCCATTTACGAACTTAACCTGCCTACTGAAAAAATAAGCACGTGTGCAAAATTTTAGCCTTCTATCTCAATTCGTTCGAAAGATAGCGTGATTACAACAGACAGACAGACAGACGGACATGGCTTAATCGACTTAGAATTTTACGCCGATGAAGAATATATATACTTTATTGGGTCTGACATGAGTATTTCGAGGAGTTACAAACGGAATGACAAAGTTAATATACCCTCCATAGTATGGTGGAGGGTATAAAAATTACGTTTGCTGGCATCACAACCGTAGTGTTTACATATGTACATGCAAAATATTTGGCTATTGCAATTGTAAACATGTTTTAAAATGTATGAGGTTAGGTAAACTGCTAGAGCTGTGGGAAGTTTAAAAGACAATCGTTATTCCTTGAGGCTGTATTTGAATCCTCTTTGAGAATTAATCCGGCATACAGCGGGTTGTGCGTTTCTTCCCACTGCATGTGGAGGAAAGGAAGTTGTCGGACCAGTCGCGTACGAATTTGTTGGATAGGGAAGGCTTGAAGGCCATATTGCTCAGTAGTAGTCTTAGGATGTCTCTTTAATGATATCATTGAACAGAGTAGTGGGAACACCCACGGAAGGAAGTATTTTATTGCATTGTAAATATTGTATAAAAGCACATAAAATTTGGAAAATTTTCTAACATTTTTGTTTGAATTCATAGTAATGTCCTTAGTGGTGGGCCCTGAGATTGAGTGAATTTGGACATTCTGCTATTTTAAGGCATTTGCAGAACATATGAAGCCAGATCATGGCCAGTGACTACATATCACCTAGGCTAAACATTGAATCACTGGACATCCATATACCTAACATCTGGACCCGGAACAGCTCACCCTTCAACGGCATAGTCGTCTATACCGATGGTTCAAAGTTGCAGATTGGACAGAGATATTTGTTATCAAACAAGTAAAAAAGCAGTAACTTTGAATACTCTCCTCCATATGCAACGAATTTGGAAATAAAAAAATCCATTTACAATTCTGGAGTTATTGTTATATTGGAGTGCAAGTTTTGTCATAGGCCAGCATTCAAATACGAAACTTGAAACAATTCCGGCGAATAATGTAGCTAAAATCATCAAAATAACTAATATATGGGGCACCGTTACATGGGGGCTATACGAAGAGGTGCACGCACACTTTTCTGTCATAGCATGTAGTATCCATTACGAACTTCAAATACCAAATTAGAAACAACTCCGGCGAATAATTATGGGGGCTATACGAAGACCTGGACCAAGTGTTGTACGAAGTTCAAATACGAAATTTGAAACAATTTCGGACATTCAAATCTTAAAAAAATCGAATATCAGGACACATCGTTGTGTGGGCGCTATAGGAAGATGCATACCTGCATATACAGCATAGGCTCTAGTACCCATTACAAACTTCAAATACGAAATTTGAAACATTGAAAAATGTGGAAAAATCATCAAAATACCGAATACCAGGAGGTACTGTTATATGAAGAATATACGATATCGTCGGCCGCCTGCAGAAAAAAAGTGATCTGTGCAGGGACTGGACGAACAGGGCTAAATCCTCTTAGAATTTTACGCTGATCATGAATATATATACTTTGTTATGTTTTAAATTGTTATGAAGACGTGGATCTTAGTAAATTAATCTGAAGACCGAGAACTTGATGAAGCCACCATTGTACCACTTTTTCCGAGTGATACACTATGGACAAAGCCTGCAGTACTTAGTGTCGTCGTCACCCAATGGCCCTTATATTACAGATACTCGTAAGGGTCATGACTTTTTAGTGGGTTGACGAAACTGGAACGGTAGATCACTTACTTTGCCTTTGTTAAACTCTTTTCGTTGTTAGACATGGGCTTATGGGGAAGCAATTCTGCTCAACTTGCCCTATTTTTTTTTTCGTGAATCACACATTATTTCTATCTATCTTTTTCTGTTTTTCTCTTTTTCGGTCTCTTTTCTTTTAAATTTTACGACGAACACAATGGACCAATAGGTCCACAAATGGAGTGATTCCATTTAGTACTTTTCGAACATTTTCAAAACCGCCTCCTTATCTCAATTCCAGATACCAACGGAGACCTTAATATGAAATTGGAGGATTCTAGGCCT